TCCTGGAACCAAGACACCGTTGTGGCTGTCACAATTAGGACTCATGTTCCTGGACCACTGCTTAAGCAAGTGTATAATCTGTTTAAAAAAGGTTTAATGTTGGCAAGCTGACAGAAAGTTGGGGTATTATAAACTGTATCTACTGTAAATGAATGTTAAAAGCTCACTTCTGCTGGGAAGAGGGTTAGTTCTCATTTATATGAACAATGACAAACAGAATCTTTTCTAGGGCCTTAAATCAGGGCCTTAAATGCTACCAGCATTTGCATGCATTTGCCAAGTATTTACGTCATGCTCATGTAGTATTTGCAAAGCTTTCTCCAAGCCTTTGCACATACTTCTCAGCAGCCTGGGAGGAGTAGATTTAACTTCTGCTAAGCAGAAAATATATTGTGATTTCTAACAAAAGGAGGGGTTGATTTGTGAGGTGAATTATGGCTTTTTGTGCTTGCTGTCTTTTTTGTTTGGTGTTGGTAATATCTTGCTCTATCACCCCCTGGAGCATTATAGAACACTTTCATATATAGAAAGCATTCTCCAGTAAGATATAAGGTCCATTCAGTCTGCACTTAATGCTCTAAAACTGCTTGTCAAATGGGTCAAATGGCTTGGAGGGTGTTCAAATAAAATTCTATTGAAGAATTTGAAAGGCTTGTAATTGATGACCCTTGATAAATGGTGCAAGCAACAAAGCTCTAGAAAAGTAACTTTTTGGATTTTGGATCGATGTTTTATATAAAGTGGGGAAGACTGAGGGTCTTCGTTAACCTTTTGTCACTGTCTGTGTCCCCATTGAGAAGATTGTTCCCTCACGTCTTGTCCCGGTGGCAAATACACAAGAAAGTGTATAAAAATCTCCCCAATCAGAACACAGAGACCAATATTTTTTACAGTAATTCCATACCTTTCATGTTCTATTAAAAAGAAAAACTATGTATTTGCTGAATTTCCATTTTAAGTTGGGATGGCCTGACTAATACCTACTTTTGTAGAACTTCAAGTTTATAATTTGTGGTTCATACCAGCCTAAATGCAGCTTAGCTTGGGTGGGTGCATCAAGACTGGGGGATTTAAAAAAAAAATGTAGCCTACTACTTAGAATAATTCTGTTGCTAGAAGATATGGAGCTCTTTCTCACTTCAGGTTCTTCAGCATGACAAGCAACCATGGGGATGGGTTATGTGTCACCCTTTTGTTTGGTGCACAAGCAAAGGATTACTTTGGAATTCTTATATTTCACTTATGTTAAACTTGGAGGCAGCAGGGATAAAAAGAGAAGGGTTAAATCTATCTATAAAGAAAACATTTCCAAAACAATTCAAAAGGGCATTGAACAATCCATTCCTTGCTGGGTCTGATCTTACTTAAGGAAAAAGAATTCTGAGATATCCCGACTGTCCCATTCTGAAATGGCCAGTCTTTATTATTTAAAGTGACACAAAACTTGGAATTATTCAGTCAGAGTATTCAATCTGTAATTGGATAGAAAACTGGCTTAAGGACCGTATTTAGAGAGCGGTGATCAATGATTCATACTGTGCTTGGTTTGAGGTTGTTAGTGTTGTCCCCCAAGGTTCAAGGTTCAGGATATGTTCAGAATTTTTTTCGCCTGGTGGAGCAAATTGAACTATGCTTAATAGGGTTTTTTTTTGCCTTTCTCTGGATCAACAGTGGGTAACTGTGGGTATTGCATTCTGTTTTAAGTTTTTCTTTTTTTTCCTCTTCTTTTATCTCTATAGGTTGAACTCGATAAACGTGTGTCTTTTTTTCAACCTGACTATGTAATTAAATCTTAGCAATCCATTCAAGTACCTTAAATATTAACAAATATCTTATTTGTTTATCACTCAGCTGTAGATCCTAAAATCATCTCTAAATTCATGCTGACTGTGTCTTTCCTTCTGGAGGATGTATACTTTTGTTCCCCATGGTCACTGTGTGTGTTGTAAAGTAACCACCACTCCAAGCTCGCTCCCATGATGGACTACAATCTCACGTTTAGTTTACTAATTGGTATTGAGATTGTAGTCCATCACGGGAGTGAGCTTGGAGTGGTGGCTACTTTATAACACACACAAGGACCATAGACAACAAATGTAGCCACCCTCCAGAAGGAAGGACAATGTCAGCACAAAGATGATTTGAGGATCTACAGCTGAGTGCTCCACAAATAAGCTAAATGTTTTGGTAATAGTTAAGGTACTTGAATGTATTTTTAAGATCTAACTCCTGAGTTTAGTGTCATTTTAAATACTTCAACAGAGAACATAAGAATGGGGCTTGTGTCCAGAAGATTCTCTGCCTAGGTCACACAACTATAAACTATTTCCATCCATGGGTCAGCGGATCCATTTATTCACCTGTATACCAATACACCAAGCTGTTGGAAGTACACGTTTGGATAGTTTTAAAAATGAATACCTTCCTGTATGAAGCATACTTTTTGTAATATAAAGTTGTATTATTTTATAGAAAAAGTTGCAGTAACAGGCTTTTGTTGGTACTATGTACAAAAGGTCATGGCCGTGCAAAACAGTGATGAGTGACCATAATGTTGAAGAATAATCAAAGACAACAGCTGCATTTAGAAGTAGATTATCTATTAAAGTGCAGGAAAGATCAAAACCAGCAGCCTTAGCAGGGAGCACCATCTGTCCTGCTCAACTATGCTTGTGGATAAAATATTTTTTGAGTTCAAGGCAACAAGAAGCTGTGCAATTCCAAACCAACTTAGGAGATGCCAGCATTATCTCTTATCTATCACTGCACAGTAAATAAAACCACTATGCCAGCTGATCAAAATTTTATAGACTTAGGGTAAAGGATGTCAGGATATGTAGTTTCTAATGTCAAGATTAACTTGCTTCACATAAACAAATAAAAGACATTACCAAACCATTCTTACATAGCTGCTGCGCACATGAAAATGTGTATTCACATGAAATATTTTTCATCTCCAGGAAATAACACGAAGATTACTTGACCGAGGCTGCCACCTGTTGCCTCTGCCTAGTTTGTACCTGGCACAATAAGATGGTGGGGTGTATTTACTAAAGTCAAATAGATTGTTTAATTTGCAAGAGAATTTTCACTTTTTAGTGAATATTATTAAAATTCACATTGCAAAGAATATCCAGTCAAGTGCAACGAAAGTAAAAAATGCATTTGTGCTTACTTATGATTGGACGATGGTAGTCAGCAAATCTTTACCCAATTCAATAAGACAAGGGAACATTCCCTTGCAAACTGAACTGCCTATTTGCCTTTTGTAATGCAACTTCAGTATCTTTAATTATTCTTCTGTGTAAGAAGTGTCATTTTTTTAAAATGTATTTTTATTTTTTATTTCCTCCTGTAGCAAAATATTGCTTGTGGCCAAGGCTTGCTTACTCTCTTAGTGCACCAGTTCTGACCAGTCTTCCTTACTTTAGTTTTAAGGGATCAGAGACCTTTCTTAAAACACAGGTGTCTGATATCATATCAACTCAGTAGATCATAAGATCAAGTTTACGTGGGAAGGTATGAAAAACAACAAACTGGCTTTCTTGGACTGTTTAGTAACAGTAGAAGAGGGAAGGAGGCTGGAAATAGAGGTCTACCAAAAACCAAAACACACGGACCGGTACCTGCTATTTGACTCCCACAACCCTCTAGACCACAAACTGGGAGTCATCAGGACTCTACACCACTGGGCAGAGAAATTTCCCAAGACAAGCCAAGACAAAAGGAATTCAAACACCTCAACGGGGCCCTTAAAACTTGTGGGTATCCAGACTGGGCTTTTGTCAAAACAGAAAGAAGAGTACAGAATGCCAAGAGTACCAGTGAGGGTGAAACGCATGACACACGGAAGAATTTGGTCATTCCATATGTAGCTGGGGTGTCTGAGAAACTCAGAAGGGTTTTAAAAAAACATCACATCCCTGTCTGCTTTAAACCCAGCAATACACTGAGGCAACAACTGGTTCACCCAAAAGACCCAATGCCAAAACACAAGATGAACAACATTGTGTATGCAGTCCAGTGCAGTGAGGAGTGCTCAGAATTGTATGACGGTGAAACAAAGCAGCAGCTACACTAGCGTATGGCACAGCATAGGGGAGCAAAACCCTCTGGTCAGGATTCAGCAGTGTACCGACATCTAAAGGAAAAAGGTCACTCCTTTGAAGACAGTCAAGTACGCATCCTAGACAGGGAGGAGGACTGGTTTAAAAGAGGTGTGAAAGAGGCCATTTATGTAAAAATGGGAAAGCCAAGCTTGAATAGAGGTGGGGTGGTGAGACATCTATTGTCTGCCATATACAATGCTGTTTTAACACCTCTCTCTGTGCAAGTTAATAACACCTCCTAGCTCCAATTATGCAAATGAAATCAACACCTGGTTGTGACTAACAGACTATGTGTATTGAAGCAACATTCACCATATTTATTCCCAGAGAAGTCTTGTACAAGTCATTCTGAATTGAGAAAGCTGGTTGGATGACCAGTGAAACGTCTTCAAGAAAAATACAGCAAGTCCAGTTGCCTTGACTTTTTTTTACAGATGTAAAAGTTATAGTTGTAGTAGCAGTAATAATAATAATCATGAAGAATAGTAACTTTGGTCTTCTTCGCTTCACAAAAACTGCAAGCTGAAATTAGCTGCTTGTCTAGGGCCTAATCCAACTGCTAGAGTCCCAAAAAGTAGAGTGGGAGAGCTC